TATAGCCGGGAAACCTTGATATTTGTTTATAAATATTAATATAAAATATAAATACGTATTTATATATGATCTTAGATCTTTGTTTTTGTTTAAAATTTTGGAAGTACAAATAATAGAAATAAAAATGTATAACTTACATATTATAAATAATCAATATAAAAAAAAAAACAAGCAATTTATCTATTTATTCTTAGGGATTTATTCAGATAAGAGCATAGGTGTCCTTATAGAATTCTTTAAATGCTTATATTTGAATTAAAAATGATATATGTAACATAAAAAAAGCATAAAAAACTAAAATAATAACCTAGAATGTATTTATATAAATATGTAGAAATATTTTTGTCCAGCTAGATTTGATAAATGACACACTATGCGACGTATACACATGATCGCGAATTACGATATACATATAAAACAATAGGGCGCATTCTTTCGTGCACGGACGTTATAACAACGGAATAAATAAAAATTTTTTCATTTGAAATTTATTGAAGCGATATTTTTCAAAATGTAATATTTTGTAAGATTTTATAAAAAAAATCGAAGTATGATAGAAAATTTTGAGATCTATTTGTTTTTTACGATGGAAGATTTTCATGAATATCTGATTTTTTAATAATTAAAAATTCGAAAGATGTTTTAAATAGAAATGTTCTTATATTTTCAATTAATACAAAACTTTTCTTTAGTTATCTTTTGTTTAGTTATCATATATATACTCGTATTTTGTATCATGTATATATTTTTGAATAAAATTACTTTCAGTTAATGTTCACGAATATTTATTTATGTACAGAGTAACGAGAACAAAATAGCTAAATAAGAGGGAACAACGTAATCATGATCTAGTTATGATCTTTCGACGAACCGTTTCGCACGGAAATGCAGCAATCTTTCGTGGAAGTACCTACCGCAGTTTCCGTCGATGGAATATAGCGATAGATCCATATCTTTAAAACGTAAAAATAATTATTCCTGCTTACGTTTTACAGATATTCATTAATTTTCTTAAAATGCTACATGTTTTATTATTTTAACGAGCATGTCACTTCGTCAGAATACTGTACTTTCTATTCTATTAACAATTATAGACAATATTCTACAATCTACATATTATAACATATCATTTTTGCTTTAAAAATGTTGAACAATATAAATGATATAAAAAAACGAATTTCTTTATTATTTTCATTTGTTTATAAGAGAAAATTAAATGTATGTACTTACCTTGGTTGCGTTTCAATTCGTAAAAAATATAATCGCATTGTTCACATTTCGCATCGATTTTGTTAGCACTTCGCTAAAGTGCCGCATTTAGACGTAAACATCAAACGTCTTAAAGTTTCTTTTCTTTTTTATACCACTTTATACAAATTCATTAATTCTCTTAAACATAATTTTTATTTGTTCAATTGTGCGTCTCTAATCGTTGTCGTCAACGACGAATGCAAAAAATCTTAAGAAATATATTTCAGCTTTATAAAAGTTACATTTAGTCAAGCATGTATGTTCCTTACCTTTTTGTCGGCTCTTTTTTTCCTTCTATCTCATTTATATGTATATAAATATACGTAAGTCAAGTAAGAGCGTGGTCGAGTTCATGTTATTAGCCTTGAGATAGGTTCGAATAGTTTCATACGATATATCTAAACCTTTCTGCTTCAATTTTGCTTGTCTTTGACGCAATGTTAAGCCAAAATTCCGCGAAAACAGATTCACTATTTTTTATCGTCTTTTTTTGTCCACTTTGCATATCGAGCCACGTTTCGGTAAATCATTCCGGTAAATCGACATTTTTTGCCACATTATATCGCTGCACTCACTTCTGTACGAATGATTTCGACTTTTTCATATATTTAGCAGCCGCTAATTGTGACATTTTTGGACCTTTCGGGTGAGTGCAGAGAAACACAACGTGAGGAACACGCTTCATACACACGCCGTGATGCGTATTTGATACTCATGGCGCTTAATGTGATTCTCTTAAGAAAGTTCAATGACAACTGAATTTTCCTTGATAGTGCATCAAGGACAAAGGTGCTCTCTATAGATTCATGATAGATTTAGGGCGATATCTTTTATTAGCTTTGAGTAAGGCCGATTTTGAGGTCTATTTTTGCTGGTTACATCTGTTTCACTTTGAGTGGCATCGCCAAGATCAGGTCAAGGTCACACCGATTTTTTTTTTAAGTTCCTCTTATTTTTATTTTTGTACTAAAAATTCGTTTTTACGTAAAAAGGTAAATAAAAAAAACAACCTTCAATGTCCTTAATTTTAACAAATGTTATCTAAGTCATGCTCGTAAACAATATTCAAGAAGTTTTAGCCATCGTTGGACTTTGAGTATCCTATCTAATGCTAATGTTAACGATACTGTACTTTTAAGCGTGATAACTCAATAAGTATTGATTTAAAAAAATTGTTACAACCAAGCTTGGTTGATAAGAAACTCATGTGCGGAAGTTGATATCAAACCATGCTGCAGTTAAAAAGAAAGGTAACAAAAGTTCCACTTCGATGAAACGTACACTCCCTCCGTTTTTTTGCCAACCTTCGGTTGGCAGCAGTCGGCAGTAAAAAGACTTTATTAAAACTTCGATCGTTACGGGCCTTTATTTCTTATTTCCTATATTCTATTAAAGTGTTTTGAAAAACGAAGCCAGCTATTAGATTTTGGAATAAAAAATAGGACGTTTCGTTTAAAAAAATCGATGTGACCTTGACCTGACCTTGATGATGCCATCGAAGGTCAAACGGGAATGTAAAATCAGTGAATAGATCTTTTTAAACCGTACAACTTTTTTCTGAAACATTTTTCTCAAAATGCTTACTTTTCAAGATATTTAAGGAGTCCTGGACTTTTTATATACCCTGTATATATATATATATATATATATATATATATATATATATATATT